TGAAAATGCAACAGGAACTTTGACCAAGCCAGGTTAGATGGTTTGGTTGCCCAACCCACTTTGGTATAAAGAGACTCCATGAGATTTTTCTTCTAAAGGGGCTGAATATTCACTAAGGTGGAGATTTGTTTGGTAGGCGTATATACCGGGTGATGCATATCTCCTAAGGTGTTGGATATTCGCCAAGGTGGAGAATTGTTAGATATGGCTCATATCTAGGGAGTTGGAGTTTCTTTTGAAGAGGCGTGTCTCCTGGTGAAAAGGAGTGTCTCTTGGAATAAAGGGGGTTGGGAGGAGCGAGGGCGTGATTGTAATTTTATCCGAGGGTTAGTATATGTCTATTTATATGTGAAAACCTATGGGATGTATCTTCAACTTCTCTGAAATAGTGAAACCGCCGCTCGCTCCCGAGGACGTAGGCAATTCTTTGCCGAACCTCGTTAAATCTTTGTGTTCTTCTAGTTTGTGTTGATTCCTGTTTTTATTCTGTTAAATTTCACAACATTCTGTACATAGTTTCTCTGATGATGATTGGGATGAAAACATAGTTGATCATACCTCTACTATCTCATTTGTGTTCTTTCTTGGTCGTAATGCTATCTTATTGAGCTCCAAAAAACAAAACACGGTTGCCTGATCTTCCATTGAAGAAGAATATCATGTCATTACCTCCTTTACAGTTGAACACACTTGGTTACATTACAATCTCTTCATTGTGAATTTCTACACAAATTATTTATTGTGACAGCAAATGCCACCTACCTATGTGCCAGTCTAGCCTTTCATAAACTACAGGAGATGTGTGAATTAGCGTCCGCAATTTGTGTTGGAAATTTTCGATGGCTTTTGCGTCTGGTACTTAGCAAACATTAGTTTATGCTATTTGCTTTGAAATTTGCATCGGACTATCCTCTAAATATTCAAAGCAAACAAAGGCAAAATTTATAGTGTTGTTGTGGCCATTTTAGAGTCAGAATTGTGTCAAATAAATCAACTCAAAAGCTTAAATT